AGACGGAGCATTCCAACAGTTTAGCAAGCAGGAAACACAGAACCACAGTCGCACCTCATTACAGTCAAACTCATCAACCCCCTCAGTCACGCAAAAAGACGCTCGCACTGAAAAAAAAAAACGCCTGAGGCCATATTATCATCAAGTCATTTGACTTCTGACTATAGGCTGACTAATATTGGTCAGACACATGTTTGAAATGACAGGCCTTCCTTTTTTTTTTTGTCTAAAAAAGTGATACATTTCATGCCGTTACTAAAGGTCATGTCAAAACTCAGGAATACATGACTCATTTTGGTCTTTGTCACAAAATAAACAAGCCTGAAAAAAATCAGCCTTGTTGCTGACATTGGCCATGTTGGTACACCAGATGATGTAGGGCCGTATCTCAAGGTCTGTTTAGTTTGTCGTCTGGTCTGTCATCAGTAACAGGCACTGAGAGGTGACAGAGGCACAGACTTCAGAGCAGCCAGTCAGGTGGTGCGGCACATTCCCAAAAGGTGAGGTCAAGAGGTATGAGAAATTATGTAATCTTAAAAGTTTGACAGGGAATAATCACACCATCATAGTAAAAAGAAATTGGATAAAACTTTTGTAGGCATTAAGATCATTTAATCAATAAAACACTTTGAACTTGAGAATTGATCATAACAATAATCTCATTATTCATTATATAAAATAAACAGTTAATTTAGGAATTTCATGATGGCCACTTAGCATAATTGCAGCCCACACATTCCAGAGTGGCAAATTATAACGCAGTACAATGCTCCTCTTGTTGTTGCCTTTTATCTTTGCTCAAGCTATTCCCTTTGAGCCAATGCACGAGAGACAATAGAAATGTAAGCTCAACTTAGCAACAGGAAGCATCCCTCTGTGAATGTGTGGGCACGTTAGAAATACACTACTACAAATGAAGTACACTAACAATTGTTATTGTTATGTCAAAAGTATGATGCAAAAAGTGAAAATAGAAACACTGTCCTTCAGTAACACAACAGGGGGAGGAGTATTTATGCTGATAAGAAATGTGAGAAGCAACGGAAGAAAGACAAGACATGTTTGGTATTTGCCTGTAGATGCATTTTGATAAGAAAAGCAAACAAAAACATAAATCTTTGGACAGATCTCGTCAACCTGCTGCTTCTCATATGGGTCTCACGCTGCTATGGCTCCAAACTTGTCTCCCTAAATGAGCCGTTTTCAGGCCCATGCAGGTCTGTCTTATCTTAACCTTGAATGGTATTTCTGTAAACAAAATAAAACACAAAGTTGTTGGTCTGTTGTGATAGACTCAAACAGAGTGAGTATACTTTCTCCAGTGATGTTACAGAGCTGCTGCATTTGCATTAGATTAATTTTCTATAAGAAATCCCATCAGAGAAAGCAAGAAGCAGTCCAGTGTGAATAATAGCTACGTTTAGAACAAGTAAACGGGACAAAGCTGAGATTAGACTCACTATTAAAGATGGCAGTGGACCTGTATGATCAGTCATGCCTACCGCAGGTCGGCTAAGCCTATCAAGAATGCTAAAAATCCTTGATCCTTGCCCAAAGCTAAACTCCAAAGCTTCCTTTTTTTCACCTGACTCATGCCAAGCTGTGCTACTGGAGCGTGCACTATGATTCAGTTAGAGGGCAGCCCAGCAATTTTTAATTTCCTACCTGCATAGTTGCGACTGGTTTGTTACAGCTGGTATTTTGTAAATACTGAATACAATACAGTGTTTGAACTTTGCAAGGTTGGCACTGTGGACTGGTTATAACTATCTAAACAAACCTCTGTTTGCCTTGTAGCCCTGCACTGCCAGATATTTCCTATTCTCTCCTGTTGCCACCACTGTAATGATCTGTACCCTCTCTCTCTTTTCCAAAACAGTCTCCTCATGCCCATGTTGGACAATAAGGGTGGTTTTGTATATATTCTGCACATTAAGCAGAAATAAATCCCCCAAAAGGAGGATCTGAATAGGTATTATATGTTCACAATACCAGCTTATTGAACATTCACTGGGGACCATGACCACTAGACACCCTGGTGTACAGAACTGAACACATAACGTGGTACCTCATATCACCATGCAATCAGCTTGGTCTAATCTGTTCTTGAAAACAGATGATGAACCAGGCAGGTTGTAAATAAATAAATCAGAGCTAAAATCAGGCAGATGTGGCACAAGGAAATCACTTGGCGTCTCAAATCCCTCCTCGTGTGGCAACAACACGGGGTATACCATGCCGAAAAAACACTGATTTTCTGGTTACACAAGGAGACATCTATACATCCCCATATGAAGTGATGTAGCATGCATGGTGCCACCTGTGAATCGTTTCTGGGAGCAATGCCCTTGACATATATACAACGACGCAGCGCATACATTTATTTTGACAGCCCCAGTGATAGTCGAGTACAAACGCTTCTTACCCACCAGCCCTATTAGTTAAAAAAAACACTGGCACTGACTGCGCACTGGCTCCACACTGCACCTTCACACAGCACAAAGATGTGCTTTGTCCTCACACAACCGACAGATGTGTGTAGGCACCTTGTACCACGAACAACACCCCGCACATGACTAGCACCACGCTCCCGACTCACCTTTTCTCCTGCCTGCCTCAAGCTTTAGGATGTCACACAATACGAAGCGGGGTTTTCCTCTTTTTTTGTTTCAACTCGTAAAAAGGTCCTACAAGTCCGAGACACAAACTGCGCACCGGTCTTCCTTACCTTCGCGGGAAACGTGCTCGCTTCGCTTCGAACCGAAAATGCCCCGGTGTCTTCCTCCTGAAAAGCAACTTGGAAGTTTGATAGAAAGTTACGGGTTCGCCTTGCTGCGCTATGCAGCTGCTGGAGGGATGAGATCATTCAGGCAGCCTCCCCTCTCTCACCGCCCCGGAGTCTCGCGAGAAGGCTTCATGGGGGGAAAGCAAACGTTACCGTGGCAACAGTGCTCACCTGTAGTGGGTAGAAGGGAGACGAGGGACAACGAAGAGCTCTCACTCTGCTTTGAAGATTGAAACCTAGCTAGCATGCAAGTTCTAGGTTTTCACTCCGATTTTTTTACCTACAACCTTTTCTCTGTAGGTCCAGTTACACACCCTTTACATACCCATATGTTTCACGTGTTGCTATGTTTAATTTAGGTGACATTTGAACAAAGTTTATTGGGTGTTTCTGCTCTAATCTGCCTAAATTTGGTCTCTCCACTCTCAACAAACAAATTTAACCACACACACAGGGGCCCCTGTACAGGTCCTGTCCACTTGCATAATGAAAAACTAACAACCTGTGACTTACTGTTGCAGACTGACAAAAATAGAGAACATCTCCACAAAAAGTTGAGTAGTTCTTATATGTTTAAAGGAAAATTAACTTTTACAATGCTGTACAATGGTTATTTTAAAAATATTGTACTTATTTCTATAGTTTATCTAATATTGCTGCAGTCACATGCAGGGCCTGTACCTAAATGGTAATTTGTACCAAAATTGAGTTGAAGTTACAGTGTGTACCATTCGACACAAATTCTGATGTGGTGAGGTAGTTTTTGTTATATTCTTAATTATTTTCAAGAATTGAATAGAGTGGCTCATCTCAAACATAAACAATCTTTGGTGGTGTTTTTCTGCAAGCTGTATGTATGTGTGTGGGGGAGCAGTGCAGAGAGAGGAGAGCCCCCTGGTATTCCTCCTCTAATATTTGCTCCTTGTATAGGCTGTATTAGCAGCCTGGCAGTCAAGCCCCGACCAGTTGGCCAGTGGAAAGCATATTAATCAAATGTCCTCATGTCTCATGACACCACAAACATTTAAATTTGATATGCAAACATAACGAGCCAGGCTACAAACACCACAGCCACTGTAAGTGGAATGAAAACCCATCCTGTATCAGGTGACTGAGTTTCACTGCTGTCACAAATGTCCCCGGAGCTATCTGCCAAAGACATTAGGGCAGTGTCTGGCCTGTGTAGCCTGTGGCTCTGACATCATCGGCTGATGTGGATGTGAGCGGATGTGCAGAAAATCCACTGCTAATCTGCAGATCTTGCAAACAATGCATAGTGTGCACAGAGAACTAAGGCTGGATATGTGCTCATTACATAGCAGCAAGGGCGATGCTTTCCTAAATGCATGATTTAGGACTCATCTTCAGGTTTCACTGTGGTACTAAAGCATTCCCATAGCTGTACAGGCTACTGGTATCAGCAGATCCTACTAAGAATGGTAGATTTAGTGAATTAGTGGAGAAAGGAGATCTCAGCAAATAAAGAATGAATCAGCAGGCTGGAGGATGCATAATGCAGAGGAATGGCCTGTGAGTTATCTTAGAAAGCATCTAAGTGTGCAGTGACAACATGCATCATAACTGGAGATCCTTCTATTCTATTTCAAGCCTCATTACTATGCCTACACAGAGCTGTTTCAGACATGACAACATCTGTTTTTGTCAACCTGCATCAGAGGTGCACATCTTTATGGCAGGTGCCCTTCAGTTTGTAGAGTCAAAAAAAAAAAAAAAAGATACACTGGTGATAGAGAAATTTGTTTTTAATGTTTTATTCCAGTGCAAACATTTTGTGAATGCATGTGTGGTGAATGTTAATTCATAAAGGTATGAGAGAAGTTGTGTGTTTGTATGATCAAATCAGTAGCACCATCTGCTGGCCAGGCCAGCACAGGGCAAGAAACAAAAGCACACGCAAAAGGAAATACTCTGCTCTTCAAAAAGTGATTTTTTTTTTTTAAAGTAGATCCACATTTGTATAAACCTGGTACTATGCAGTAAAATCCCAGCTTTCTTTCCATTACAATAGGTTTCCGCAAACTTTGAAAAATATATTGAACTTATTCATCCACTACTGTTAAGCACTTATAAGGCCTCAGATAATATTCCCTTAACTTTTCAGAATATTACCCTCATTTAATAAGGCTTAAAAGTGTGGAGGACAGCGTATCATGACTTTAATGGATGGGTAGTCATTAAGAGGTGGAGGCTGTTCCTAGGTCTTGGTTAATCTTAACAGTCTTTGAATGTCAGGCTCGATGTCAATGGTGGGGAACTTTTTGCTGTATCTTTTAAAGGGCTCTCCCTCTGGCCCAATGACGAATTTCTCAAAGTTCCAAGACACGTCCGTCCTGCAGATGGGACTCCAAACCAGAAACTTGGGGTCCTGCATGAGGGAGTTGGGGTCGTCATCGGGATAGGGGAGCTTGTCTTTCAGATAGGCAAAGACTGGATGTGTGTTTGTTCCGTTGACGTTACACTTCTCAAAGATGGTGAAGTTGGGCTGAAAGCCACCGCCTGGACGCACATGCTGCAGTGAACTCAGGATCTCGCCATTGGAGCAGTTCTCCTGCAAAACATAGATATTAACTTTCAGAATGACAATGATGGTATTTAGTCCAGCTATTTCTATACTGCACAGCAACAATGTAATTTTTTAAGACAAAGTTTGTCTCTAATTTTGGTGGTACGTTCATTTTTTTAGAGGTGAAATCCAGCCTAGCCAGGACATGGGGTACCAACACTCAAGATCCTGGTCAAATAATGGTTTTCAACAGGTTTTTAAACTCTGGTCAAATTCAGGTGCAGTGAATATGCAACAGCAAAGCAGGGCACCACATGAACATGGTACAGTTTTGTATGCAGTGGTGAACTGATACAGCAGGGTTTAACATGAATAATGAAACATCATCTATACATCAGGCATTTATGTGATTTCTGACTTATATCAAGACCAGATATTGCAGGGTACCACTGAACTTCATTAGGCAATAATGCTGTTCAACTGACCTGATATCCAAACTGGTTACAGGGAAAGCCCAGGACCACCAGCCGATGAGGGTACTTGCTTTGAAGCAGGTTGAGCTCGCTGAAGTCCCGGGTGGTGGTGCCTCAGAGCGAGGCCACGTTCTCTATGAGGACCACCCGTCCCCTGTAGACGTTAAAGTCCACCGGGTCTCCCTCCAGCGTGGTGGCCTTCAAGTCGTAGAATGTCTTGGCGATAAACGTCATCTTGACTCCTGTGTTTCCACACTGGAGCCAGACGGGAACTCAGCGTGTGACAGCACCCAACCGCTTGGTCAGCTGACTCACTTAGGGCAGAAAGCTGCCTTTCATGGGTGTCATATAGCTCTGCAGGAAACTGATCTACACCTGACACACAACACTCTTTACAAGTTTCAGATAGATTGATATAAGTGATTGTAAAACCACACAAGAACATGAAGCAGTTTTTTTGAATGATTAACAGTAAGACGTGTTATCCTACTCAGAATAGGATCAGTATTCATGTGTTTGAATCCCAACATAATGTGCTTTTGTTAACTGGATTTTTTATTTACCTTTTATAATATTACAGGCATGTATTTGACTATATGTACTCAAATCTAAGTGTTGAGCAGGAAACAGCATATTCTTTTATGGTGTCTTTATGACATGTATCAGTTTTCTCAGTCATCAAAAATTTAACATGTGATCACCTGTCTTTCACAGCATGTGATGAAAAATGAATGAATCTACTGTTTGAACTCTCTGTGGACCTAACTCCACTCTCAGTCCAAATTTAGTGACTCAGCAAGGCTCAGATACCCGATTAATTAGATTTAAATATGAAATTTCAATTTATTGACCCAGATAACACTGTGCATTACATTTTTTTCCCCCCATCATTCTCGAGTATCAAACATATTAAAATTATTGTGGCTGTGGCACCTCAGAAGACCCTGAAAACATTAAATTAACCAGCAGTGACAATGCTTCAATGCACAACTTACAGCAGGCAATGTCAGTCACATTCATAAAACTAACCACAAATATACATTCAGAATGGTAAATTTCAGGTCACTGAACATGGCACAACAATGTCTCCCTTGAGGAAATAAGGCCATCGTGTAAATGAATCCATGTTGGCTTGGTTTGAGTTTCAAATGTGTAAATAATTCATCTCTTTCCTCCGTCTAAATTGTTGTAGCATCGATACTTACCCTAATAAACACATTTCTTTGATATGAAATCACATGTTATCAGTCAATTTGCGAATATGCAGCCTGCAAATCAAATCAAAAAGAAACAAGAAAGCAAAAGTGCTGGAATACAGTGAACTGATGGGAGTACATGTTTAGTGTAAAACTAAATGAAGAGAGCATTTGTATTGATAGATTTGTTGGACGCAAAATGAACACAGCTACCCTTCATGAACTATAGACTCTTCACTGGCAACAGGGTTCAGTGATCATAAAACAAAGTTGGCCCTCTGCTGGTAGCTGCTGCCAACTGCATTTACCACCATGTAACTTCACTGACAAACAGTGACACCAGCAAAGCGCCTGTCCAGCAGGTCCAAGTACCTATGAAGACGGCGGAGGAGGGCTGAGTCAAGTCACAGTGGAGAGCAGATGTCTTTTAATGTATCAGCCATGGCACGTTCTGCTAACAGGCACAACTCCTCTGAGCGTTGTCGTCAGTATCTTGACTCCCCTTCTCTTCCTCCAAATCGGCCTTTTCTAGATAATCATCCAGGGATCCCAACAAGCTGTCCACGTCTCTCTTGTGAGCCTGCAGCACCAGTTCTGTCACACGAGTGAATGACTTGAGGAAGGAGGAAGAAAAACAATAAATACACAGACGAATGCAAAAACGAAAGTCACGGGGGAGCTCCCCCACAATATCTGAGCACATTCCTGATGTGACAGAACAGATTCCTGGGGAGATACACTATGTGTCCTACCTCGCTGATGTTACTGCTGGTGGAAGCACTGGTTTCAAAGAACTCCATCTCATAGGTTTCTGCTAGCTGAAAGGTTCAGTTGGATACGGTTAGAAACACGTACAACAAAGACGTTGTATAGTTGTAGTCAGTTTTCAGTAACAGATGGTTTAGGACACTGGCTGGTGATCATTTGCTCCCATTTGAACACTGTGCTCACAGAGAATCACTACCAACAATGAGAACATTTTAATAATAGTAACTCATTTTTTGACTACACTCAGAAAACTAAAAAAAAAAAAAAACACAAAATAAAGCTCCATCAAACCTTGCTTCCTTGCTCATTCGTCACCTGCCTCCTGAGCTCCTCATCAGATTTGTTTCCTACCAAGATCCTCTGCACCTTGTCTGGGGCATACTGCAAAACAACAACAACAACAAAGACAAGACAGACAGGATGGGGATAAGGGACTTCATCATCTTGTCACTCATAGTAAGCCACTGGATGTGCAGCGAGCACCGACACCTCAGGAGGCAGCAATACAAATACTTGGTCGCCGTGAAGGGCAACGAGTGCAAGGGGAGTGAAATGAGAGAGATTATTGCCTTACTTCATCCACATCGCTGGCCCACTTCGCTATGTGCTGAAAGGACGGCTTGTTTGTGATGTCGTATACAAAGATGATACCCTGGACAAGTAAAAGGGATTACAGAATGAATGCTACAGTGGCACATAAGGGTAACTTGACTCCCATTGATTGTTTATATCACCTGCGCCCGCCTGTAGTACTGTTTGGTTATGGTCTGATAACGCTCCTGACCAGCCGTGTCCCTGCACAGAAGACAAACATACATAAATAAAAGAGGACCACATAATGTGCATGTCCGCATACTGCAAATGCAAATAAAAAAATTTTAAAAAGACATTTAACGTACCATATCTGTACTCGCACCTTGACTCCATCTATTTCTAGTGTTTTCATTTTAAAATCAACTCCTGCAAACAGAGAACACAAGGTCAACCTGGCTTTACTTCAGCAACTGAGACAGAATGGTGAAAAAGAAATCCTGCTTTGTAGTGTTTTACATGGGCTGCTGTGTGTTTGTGAGCACTTAATGAGTGTTGCTCAAAGACACTATTTTTCTCTAATGAATAGGATCGCAGTCACTCTCAGTGTCAACTTTTAAATCACTGTGTCTAAACAAGGGGGGTGCAACTCATGTCAACTACAGTAGTGTGTTGTCTGCTGGGTGACAGGACAAGAGAGCTAAAGAATGTCACAGTCACTTCTTATTAAAGCATGGGCAATACACAATATATTTATTCTTCATGCTATATGCTGTATATGTTGGATGCTGTAAGTATATGTTGTAGTATTTTTAAGGTTATGCAGTTTATTACTTTCAAGAACAATTCATCTGCTGATTATTTTTTAAATTAAGCATGTGGTATAAAAAAAATAAATAAAAAAAATCAGGAAATTGTGATTCATTTCATAACACTCAAGGCTTCAATTTGCTTGATTTGTCTGACCAACAGTCAAAAACCCAGAGATTTTCATTTCATCATCACATGAACCAAAAAAAAAAAAGAGCAGGGAAATTGAGAAGCTGTAACATAATGTTTGTCGTTTCTGCTTGAAAAATAAACTGATTAAATGGTTGATTTACAAGTGTTTTTCACAGCAGACATTTTTAACTTGTCATAATAGGAAAAATCACTGGTGTAACTAATAACATTAACCACGGCTCTGATAGAGTGACAGCGAGCACAGAGAAGGCCTGTTAATCTCTGCTACACCATGCTATAGTACATTATACTACATACCTGTTCTTTTACTTATTATTACTTTTGCTGCTCTGACATTTCATATTCCCTGCGTGGGATCAATCTTATCCCATCTTATACACTGTGCTGTCACCAGTTCCGCTATCAAGTATCAACTCTATGTTGGTTAGGTGAGTTGGTCCACTGACAAGCAGAATTTTTGTTTGAGATGTTTAATTTGAATTTAGGGCTTCTAGTAAATCAGAAAAAAACACCTACTATACAGAGCACTATAGAATCCTGCTTTCACTGTATATTTTTTTATTCAGTGTCCGAAAAGCTGCTCATGGATTGTCAGCAGATAACGTAATCACTTTAGTCTGTGTCTGATGTTCGGAGTTTTACACAGCTCCAGAAATGACCACATTTTGGTGTATTTTCCCTTTAATACAAAAGCGACTGAGCCTTTCTAATGTACAGGATAACTTATTTGCCATGATTCTTATGAGACACAAAGCCTTTTTAAATACCTTGTCACCATTAAAATGTGCCATGTAATATATGCAGAGCTGTACAGTCACCAGCTCTGACTGCTCAGCCTCCATGCCAGCACCTTATTGGTCCTACAGGTCCCAGGAAGACACTGTACTTGTGAGACATGGGGGACGCAGAGGCTTGTGAAAGGGATGACAGAAGCTGAATGAAGTTTACCGATAATCACGATATCTGGGCTCTAAAAGCAAGGAGATTTCATGTACTATGCACTTTCTCAAATAACTGGGTTTAATCCCATGCAAAGCCTTCCCACCCTGCAAGCTGACAACAAACCTTTTACCCTGAAGTAGGCTCCACTCTGCATTACAGCCATTTCTGTTACAGTCACAACAAAGTACAGTATATATCCTATCACTGAAGCATGTGCTAACCATTTTTTCTTTGTTGACGTGAAGATAATTTACTCTTTTGTGTAAAACAGCCCCACTACTTTCATCAAAGTAATTAGTCTATAACAACCAGGAAAAGAGGCAGCTGTGATATGAAGCAATAATCAAGAGTTACTTTCTGTGAATAAAAATACAAGATAAAAAAAAAAAAATCAAACACCCTGAAGGCAGAAATAATTATGTTTTTTCCTGTCGACCTTCCTTTCCATTGTGTTTGTGACACAAGTCAGGATCAAATCTCTATTAGAAAATTAGCAAAATGTAGTGTGGCAGGTTTTGAACAACATGAGCAGTCTAGCTTTCTGAGTGTTGATATTTTTTTCAGGGCTGTTGTGACCCGAGGCAGTTTTTACTAATCCTACCAGCTAAGCAGGCCTTGCTACAAGAGGGAAACTTACAGTATATTCCTCTGAAAATTAAATTAAAAAACAGTCACAGCCTCGACATTCAGTCTATAAAACGTGTTCACTGATGTTTATCCGGTGCAACCTGTGGCTGACACATATGATGAGAAAGAAGGAAACTTGTTGGATGGCTTACCGATGGTTGAAATATGTGACGGATCAAATTCGCTTTCCGTGAACCTGCGCAACATGCAAGTCTTTCCAACTCCCGAGTCCCCCAGCATGAGCAGCCTGAACAAAATGTCGTACTGTTTAGCCATGACTGAAAACTAAAACATTAGAGAAAGCATGACTGTTCCATGAAACTCTTGGCTGGTGCTCTCATTCAATGTGTCGCCGTGTGCTGCCTTCAGGCCACCTCGGAAAAGCCTATATCTAAGCTCGGGGGTGGTAAAATCAGTCTGAACCATGGATGTATTAACGTACAGCAAGGTGGAAGTTTTTACACAAGTAAACTGTTTACATAGCTTTTTTTAAAAAAAAAAAAAAAAAAAAAAACTTTAGTGGGTTATTTTTATGGTTCAGCGGCAGAATTAAGCATTTCACTACAGGATTTAAAAAGAATGTAAAAACATTTACGTCTTCGATTAGCCTATTTACATTTAGTCCATCTGTCACAAACACATCACATTTGTCTTTTGTTTTGTCATGGCTTTCATTTCGCCTGCTTTATAATCATCTCACTATGTCAACTTGATGATTTCAGTCGTGTTTTACGTTTCTTTGTACAATTTCCTACGGCTCTTGGAGGCAGCATACAGCCTGCATCCTTGAAGAGGCTGCCTGCTTTAGTGGGAGTGTCAGTCAGGATCCCAGGACACATCACACTTGGCTGAACCAATATTTAAACAGATACTACAGGTAAGGCTGTAGCCAGGTATTCATACCACTCAAACCACAATTCAAATATAATGTGATCTACAAACATTTAAGGGCTTAATATCCTCCCGTCTTACAATACATTTTCCCTCTAAATGCTTTAACTCCCCTCGCAATTTCTTACATTTTATTATACATATTAGAATTCATTAACTGGGATTGGAGGTGAGTTAATTCCATCACCCAGTTGTTTCCCTCGAATCCAACACACACATACAGAGCACAGTTTAATACCCAATAAGTCAGTTAGGAAGCCTAATGTACAAAAGCAATCCAACCACTCAAGTTGCAGTCACAATCTCCCCTTCTGTTCCTGAGTTATAGCATTGAATAATATTTTTGCAGAGCATGATGATGTCACAGTGAAGTTGACCTTTGACTGTTTGGATATAAGATGTCATCACTTCATCATTTTATCCTATTAGACATTTGTGTTAAATTGTGTCATAATTAGTAGTATGAATTCTCAAATCAAAGTGGGCTTAACCTTCATCCTTGAGGTTAAGTTGGCATTCCTGAGATATTGCGTCCAAAAGAATGGGACAGAGAGATCAACAGCCCAAAATCTTCTAACCAAGACTGTCGCCGGCATGGAAGCATAAAAACACACTGGATCACAAATACATCCCAAAAGGATAAAATAGTTTTATTTATAGTCTCATAATAAAGGTATGCCTTAACTTGCAAGACAACCGTTGGCAGTATGTACAACATACCTGTAATTTCCATGGAATGGAACAAACAAATATCGATTACGTACACACTAATTTACCTCTGCAAGAAGGAAAAAAAGAAAGATAAACGTTCCCAGCACAGGCAAATATTTCAAGGGAAGGCTTTTCTTTTGCAGAGCTGACACCATTTAAGAGTATACAGTGTTATATACTACACACTGACATGGACTTCCATTAACAAAAATAAAGATCACTGCCCTTTAACTGCATTGTGTAACATTCAGTATCCATTAGGGGATTTTTTTTATACCCACATTTTATTTAATAATAATAAAAATAGAGGGAAATAAATAGTTGAACCTGTGAAAAATCCTCTAAAACAACAGGTCAACTTGTTCATCCTCCTGTGTTCTGTGGAAAATCTCAAGCCAAACATAAGGGAGATCAGACATAAGAATATATAAGGGTAAGAAATCAATTTTGGTGCATCACTATAAATAGAAGGATTCATTTGATTACACAAACATTTTCAAAGACAAAAACTTCAGCCACCTACACTGAAGAAGGAGGGTTGCATCTTGCATAACATACATTTTTTTCAAAAGCAACTTCACATTCTTTTTCTGGAAAAGTATGAATATTAAAAAGGTAAACTACCCTAATTACCATTTTCTCAAAGGTCGTAAAGTTTGACAACTCCTCCACCAGATTGCAGAGGTTGGTCAAAACAACCAAAAGAAAAAAAAGGTTATTTTTTTGTAGCTTTACTAAAGCTTCATACCTTGTCTTCTCCACATTTGATTATGAATGGTTATCATGAGGTTCAAAAAATATCAGTCCTTCAAAACTGCAGAGCTGCCTCACTTTGTGGGTCTTAAAAGTTGTTGCTGGGCCAAAAGAGGAGTGACAGGATGCTTGCCAAGTGGAAAAAGAAAGGTAGAAGCGTTTTATACATAATAGCACCTCTCTCACACAGTCTCCACCTCGTCTCCTGGACTGGCGTAAGAAGGCAGGACTGAGCGCGGACAAGTAAGAGGAGTCGGGGCTGGTGGGTAAAGAGAGTCTGTTTGGAGAGCCGGGGGCGGCACAAGCCTAGCTGGGCTCCGCACGCAGCTTCTTTCTGTTGGGCGGCTCATCTGGCTCTGATTCAGAGCTGGAGTCGGAGCCGCCGTCAAAGGCAGACACCGCGCTCCCTTTACGGTTTGTGTACAAGCTGCTGTCAGAAGAGTAGTTTGTCTGGAGCTGAGTGTTCCCCTTGGCTTTCTCCAGTGCGCGAACTGCAAGAAGTCAACACAGACAGCAAGCCAAATAATACAGTGGTAAATACCACACTAATCACTTGTAACAGAATGACCACATCACACTTTGTTGTGAAGAGAAAAAACATTCCTCCACTTACCCTGCTGCTCCAGCAGTGCATTCTGCTTCTTTAGGTCATCAATGTCTTGCTGGTGGGTGTGGTTTTTCCGCCTCATGAACTGGATATACTCAGTGGCTTTGTCTAGAATCTGTGCTCGGGAAGCCTGTTTAACAGAGTTCTGTCAGCAGAAATTTCAGAGAGCCATGGGGCAACGCTGTAGTGAATATTTGTTCAGGCACAACATGTTATTCTCTTACCTAACCAACAGTACCTCAGTCTTATACACTTATGTTACTTTTTGGTCTCGTTCAGTGGTGGAAAGTAACATTTACTCAAGCACACTACTTAAGTACAGTTTAGAGGTGCTTGTACTTCAGTATTTTAGAAATACTGTACTGTAAAACTGTAAAAACTGTACCTTTCATATTAAGTTTTTACAAATAAACATGTGATAAGATGATAAAACACAACACATTATTAAAGATTAAAGCAGTGTTCTTTGGCTTGTGGCCGATTACAAAAAAGCTGTGTGTCTACTTGGGGTCCATTGTCACAAGCTTAAGACAAGCAGTTCCATCAAATTATCCAATTATCCAATATTTCATTAAAATGGTAAAGATCAGAGAAAATGAAAAGCAAATACTACATGTTTGTGGAGCAGAGTCTCGTACTAATCATCTCACAACCCATCAGATTTATCTTGTGACCATTTGGAGGGGCACAACCCTAAGGGTTGTCCCTTGGGAACCACTGAACTAAACTTCCTGACTGTATATGAAGCAGTTAAAACTAGCTCCACTTGAACCACTACAACAGCAAAATGCTCCTTTTGATACATTTTTAGTGATAGTAATAATAATAATAATAATAATAGTTTGTAAAATAAGTGTAAAAAAGGGTGCAGGCTGCAGTTTTATAGAGTTTATAGCAATTCCCAGATAACATGGGACAAATCAACAATGGGTCCAAACTGTAATAATCTCTGATAAGCTGACTGAATATTTTGGACTTGGAAATGCAGCCTACACTATTGATGAAGTTTGCGAGCTGTGAAAACAGTCAGAAAGCACGACGCAATATGCCAGAACCTGCATTTTCACCTTTTTATCATGTGTCTCAGACAAATGCCGCTGTTGCCTGCACCGTATACTGCTTTTGCTGACCATCTTCAGGTAGACATATAGTTCTCATGAATTACCAAGGTGCTTTGCATGTGCACAAGTTAATACAACCCCTAGACATGTCAGAGAACTTCAGAAAAGGAAATAAGGGCAGAGGGTTTTTGCTGACTGTGTGGCATCTCTTTGCTTTATTGAAGACATACAGGTGTTTCATTCAGGCTTTCTTACCTATGTGAACAGTTAGCTGGCAAGAGGTTGGATGAATGGATGGGATGATTAAATTTAGGAGCAGTTAATCTATGTTGTTTTTTTTTTTTATGTGTTAACGTGGTACTCTGACTGATGAGAAATTTTAAAACTGGCACTTCATGTGAAAAAGGCTGCTGAGCACTTAGGCTGCTAACATTATCCCCATGAATTCTTAACATGATGTAGTGTTTAAGAATGATTTCTTTTCTTTTCTGGTACAGTTGTGAAATGTAGAAATTGTATATATTTTCCTCTCACCTTCTCCCCTTGTAATGAAGGCACAGAATCTCGTAAACTGTGGAAGCTGTCTTTAATGTGGTCCCTGCGTTTGCGCTCCAGCGCATTGTGATGTGCTCGCTTGTCTGCCTGTGAGGGAACACACAGAGTTTATACTGGCAATTCGTAAAACACAGGCCACTTATGCAGAAACACAGAAGATAAAACCAATGAAGTCACAAGAAAGTTTGTTACTTTAAATCTACGTTCTTCTTTTAACACATGAGAAGAAAACAGCAGGTCATCTAAAGCTGCAATATGCAAATGCTGTAGCTTTAAATAGCAAATAAGTAGTGGCCTTTTCTTTCACAGCGAGCTTGTGTGCACATATGGAAATCTCATTTTCCTGACAACATACAGCAGGAACCTGTGGTGTATGTATAAGGTTTACATGGATGTGATATCTGTTTACTGAGTCTCAACTGAATATCTGCTGTTTGCTTTCTGTTGCTTCAAGGGTTGGACCAGAATATCCTGACAGTCTCAACACACTGTCCAATCATTGTCCTTCACAGGAGCCCAAAAACAACTCAATGTCCATCCTCTCTCTGTTGTTTTGAACAGACTGAACAGAACCAACTGATGACAGAAAATCTTATATTAGGTTCAGTAGCTAGCAACAAAAATGTGTGTCTCTTTGGTACAAGAGTTTAATTCAATAGAAGGTATCAGTATGGCAACATAAAAATTGTCACCATGATTGAAAACAT